CTGCTGAAGCAAAGCCTTCACAGACTGTCCACTTCCCTGACCATCAGCATATAGAGGGTACACAGTTATCAAGTAACACTTGAATGGCTTTATATCACCTAATAAAAGGAATTTAAAATGTGTTGTTTCACAGACAGTCAAATTCCTCACCATTTCTCATTTACCAATTCCTCATCTTCTCATTTACTTCAGATGCAGGGTTCTGGGTTTTGGCTGTTTTATTAAGATGCACTTGTATCTAATGCAGCTGACTTTTTTCCTAGAGATCATTGATATACTGCTCCAAAATATTAACTAAAGGAACAATATAATGGTTCACATTCAAATGTTAGATTTAATAAACAGACTTCATGGAAGTCTGTTTTTTTCTAATTTATTTTAAATAAAAAGCCTTTATCTGTCTGCAGCACCGAACCCCAAAATTATTGATTTCAGCTACTGATCATAATCTGAAAGGAACTGTAAAGCTGATCAAATTTTGTTGTTTGAAATGCAAGAGGGATCAGAGAATTTGATTTTGAAGGAACTCAGCCTGCTCACTACTGGTTTCCAAGAACGAGAAGACTGAAAACAAAATGCAGATAAAACCCTTGCTGTTACATAATATGAATTTCAAAATGCAAGATTAGATACAGTTTTATATTTGACAAAGATATACATATACTTCCACACTAACGATAAACTATGAAAAGCCCTCAGCATTATCCCAGATTCCTGTCCTACAATAAAATTCTAGTCAGCATGAGGACGTTCCTCACTTTGAGAATACTTCCTAGGTTTTTAGAGTGTTCTATGAAGTATTTGTAGACTTATGAGCTAAATACCTTTTAAGTATGTTCCTTGAACACTTCCTGGTTCGTTCTGCCATTCTGTGATGCAGTCTGAGCTGTTGGACACTAGACACCATTCAATCACATATTTAAGAACATAACTGTTAGGAGCAGTCCACCCTACCCACAACTTGCCATCTTTAGGTAGCGTTCTAACATTCTTCACAGGAGCTGTAAAGGAAGAAAACAGAAAAGTGATGAATATTGACAGTTTTGCCACTAGATATTCATAATAATAGCTATTTTGTCCAATGTGGATGCTTTTGGGTTATTGTAACAGTGACAATTTGACAAAACCTAAGTAAATGTAAAAGCCGTTTTCTGAAACTTGGAAGCTTGTATCAGAATCTTTGTATCAGAGATCCAAAATAAGCAGTATTAGGCTATTTAAAAACTGGAAATTAGATTCAGCTTCTCTGTTCTCAAACACAGTAAGTTGCCTTACTGCACAGTAAAGAGATACTATGTTTCTTCCAAGAGAAAGGGTCTATTTCTGAGAGAAATCAATCCTTGAGACACTTCAAAATTCCCATTCTAATCCTCACACTCATGTACCTTACCAAGTACTCCCAGCTGTAACACTAATCTGTTTGAAACACTCTTAATTAGTTCATCTAATAGTGTTAGAACTTGTGGCTCTCCCTTGGTGTTTACACTAAAAGCAGCATCTTGTCTGTAGACTTATTTCTTGCTTCCTGTCCTGGTAGCGTTTGGATTGTCTAAGAGGAGGCTGGAAATAACGAGAAGCCAGCCTGTAGTTACTAATGCTGCACAGCAAAAGGAACATAATAAAAAGGAATGAACAGTAGGGAAACAGTGGAAGCAGATGACAAAGCAACCAGGCAAGATACTGAAAATGTGGGAGAGTGAGACTGGGGCTGAAAATGTGGGAGAATGAGACTGGGACAAGAGAAGAAGAGGGCCAGGTGGAGATGAGAAAGCAGAAGAAAAATGGTGAGATGGCATATACATGAAGTAAAAGATGCTTGCTTCCCCAACCCTTTCATTTTTTAAAAAAGAAAACAAAAAAAAGCCTGCGATGCTAAGAAAAGAAACAACAGGGAATATAGTGCACAGTAGCTCTAAGGATCAAAAAGAACAGCAAAATAGCACACAGCTTCAAACGAACCTGTGAGTACATAAATCTACATGTGCCCTAGTATACAAATGGTAGCATAATTATACGGCATAGGACTGTAGATACATTCAGTAATACCTTAATTATGTGTCCATGTAAATGGTATCATTTTACAACGCTGAAGACTTCTTATAGCAAAAGCCATGCAGACACATTTGAAGGAGACATTACTAGGACACTAACCTTTCAAATTACTTGCTGGGATAAGTAAAACTGAGGGAGGGGATGCCCCAACTCTGTTACGGGCAATCACAGTCACTTCGTAAGTTCCATTTGGCAGCTTTAATGTAAGGTTGGTGGTATTAACACTGTATTTCTCTGGTGGACTGGAGACAGATGATTTAGCTCTGACAGTCACTTCATACTGCAGGATTACTCCATTGGCTTCAAATGGCTCCAATGCCTGTTAAAAACACACCTTTGATTAGACTGATACTGAACAAATGTGACTTAAACTATGCATCAAAGACAATAAAGGTTAAAAATCTGAGCTCAAGAAAAGTTACACAGATCAAATTGCTGCATATTTAAGAAAAGCGCAAATAACCTGCATTCATTTCTGTAATGCAGAAACTTCCAGAACTTTCTGGTTTAAATCCTCTTTTTCTTGGCTCACAATCCTACCTAGTAGTTTAATAAAAGCTATTCTGTAAAGATTGCAGAACATGTGTTGATAAAACCTGCATTTTATGTGACTTTACAACACATTGACATAAAAGGAATCTCACATCTTAAGCTGTGTTGAACCCGAATGCAAAACAGCCCGAGTAGTTTTCTTTTATCAGACATGGAAAAATACTTGTTTGTGTTATCTAATAACACAGAAAAATACTATGTTTCTGTGTAACTATTAGTTTTCAGATAACTTAAGAGAAAATTGTTGAAAGTAACTGTAAAGTAGCACCAGTTTTCCAATTCTAAGCTAAATAATGTCAGAAGTGCCATGTGGCATATGCGTTACATCAGAAAGCGATGTCATATCAATATACATGTAACTTCACACAAGCCACCTAGTAATAGGGAAAAAGTAGTAATAAAAAGACAGCTAGATCAAATGTGACAAAGTTCACAGACCAAAAGAAAGCAGAAGATGAGGACTGACTATAATTACATTCACCTTCTCAGCTCTGAACTAATCAGCCAACTAGACACAGCAACCTGCTGCACGCAAACATGCAGTGCTGTATTTAATAAGTTTGGCCTCTGGAATGTCTGTAGGCTTAATGGATTTTGCAGCTTGAGTAACCCTGTCCAAACAGTGTTACAAAAGTTTTAGGATACAGCAGAAGGCATAACATGAAGGTTTACTTTGTTCAGGTGAAAGTTTCCAATTCCACAAACTGCTTAAGGACAGCAAGTCAGGAGTCTGAAAGTGGATTCTGTATATACTGGATCACACATGTATGTCAGTTAACCAATAGCCTTCATGTCTGTACTTTTAATATTTCATAACTAATTATTATAATAAGAATACTATAGTCACTTCTCATATCAATAAAACCTCTACTATCCCAGCTACCTACTCAAGTTTGTTGAGGTAAATTTTGCCACTTAAAAACTCTGTTTTTAAAAGAATGCTCAATTCCTGCAGTTTATCATGTTGCTTTACCTTCCACATCAGATGCACAGTCCAGGAAGCTGGTGAGCGAGATGCATCAATGATCCTCCATATGGGTGGTCCTTTAGATGGTTCTGATGGAAAAAAACAATGCTTAATAGTAGAAATATTTTTATTTAATCTGTTTGAATTCATCCTTTGACTATCATTAGATGCTTACCTCCTTTTTTTAATAAAAGCATATACAAAAAGTGTTTCCTCAGTTCCTCAAAGAAAATAATGCTTGATATATTAAGTGGAACACCTGCATGGAAAGATTTCCTGAAGGGATGAGCAAAACACCAATTCTGCTCTAAGCATACAGTATCAAAATAACTGAGAGTCCCCATGCTGAGCATCTGCAACAACGCGCTGAAGATAACAGTGCTGAGTGAGGCACAACCAAACCTACACCTTGCAGCCTGTGTCCAGAGGCACAGCCCTGCACATCTGTATACTGCAAACCTTGCTATGGTCTGTAGCTGCAACACTCTCCCTACCCCTCAATATCAAGTCACCTAAAAAAGGAAAGTGCAGAAAAATTAACAAGGAGACAAATTTCTCCTGCCAGTATTCCCCAGGTTTCCTATATCCTTTATGCTAAAACGGGTAACAGAACCGCAGTACTTCTGTACAATACTACAATACTTTCTGGTGTCAGTACTGTAAAAAAATTCAAGTGGTGTTTCCACTACAAATTTAATTTCAAAGTAGAATGAATCAACTTATTACAGTGCATAAAGCAATAAGAAGTGGCCAATCCTTTGTGAGGGTCTTAGCCCTAATAGAAAGATGAGCTTAAAATGCAATTACATTTATAGTCTTGCTAGACTTTATTTTCTCTGGGAGTTTTTATTGCATTTTTTTTATATTAATCATTACAAATTTTTGGCTGTTTTACCTCCAAAAAACAGTATCAAGTCTACAGTGTGCATCTTGTCTCTTATGCTTTACATCAGGAGGGAAGGAAAACTGGGAATTGCGGCAAAGGGAGCTCACTCTTAATCTCATTCGAGTACCCTGATTTGATTCACGTGAAACAGAAGCAATTGTATATCTTGCCTAATATAGATCATGAATGCAACATGACCTCCCTCATGTTCATTTCCTACTATAACACCTTTGTTCTGAGGCTAAAATAAGACATGGGTACTTAATCACTAATAGCAGTATTTTTGCAAAGCCAGTCACCACAGCAGAACAGCACCATAGGCTAAACAGGTAGGCAGTCTTGAAATCCTCATTGCTCAGGTTGAGATAGTAACCACAGAAAACAAAACTATACTGTCATTAGGAGTTGAAAAGTGACTAGAGTACTGAAATAATATTTTACAGTGTCTCCCCCAGAGAAAGTAAATTTTGCATAGAGCTGAAGCAATGCCATTATGTACACATAAATTCCATTTTGTTTAATTAAGCAGGATATATACTACAATCTTCTTACTTCTCCAATATAAGATGACATGTGAATTCAATCAAAACTCATTACTGGGAACTCAGGATAAATAAGGAAGGATTTCTGATCCAATCTTGCAGTTAAGCTCCAAGAACAAAGTGGTGTTTTGATAATGAAACCTGTATTGGTTTAACTCTATTTAAAGATGTGCACTGAAATAGACTGCCTAAGAGGGCACCTTGGAAGGCACTGAGGAACAGATAGGATATTACAGAAAGGAGACCAGGAAGAGTACAAGCAGGAAAGGCTAAAGCACATTAAAAAAAAAAGACCAATCAGGCTGACTTAGAAGCTAAACAGATATCACAAAGTATTTGTAGTAGTCGGACAGAAGAATAGATTCCCTACTGGGTATCAAGCACACAATCAGAAGGTCCATTCATTGGCTCCATATGGGATAGGATCAATATAGGCCAGAAACAAAGCCAATCTTGCAGGCTTTCAAAGTAGAAGTGAAATGGAAACAGAACCAAGCTAAAGTAGTTTCACTTCTCACAACCCTAGAATTGGAACAGAAGAGTTTCTAACTGATAATAACCAAGTTCCTGGAAAAACAAGACTTCAAAGAGAATTAAACAATGTGGGGATTTTAAGTCAGAAATCAGCAAGTGATTCCCAGTGCTGCTGCTACTAATGATTCAGGACGAAACCAAACAAGCTCTTAAAATCAAATCCCTTTGAGGGTGATTTACTGATACTAGAATCCCCAGAAATCACAATGCATGTTATTGTAGTACACACAGCTATGCAGCAATCTGCTCTGCTGGATATAAAGACCCTTGGCTACAGTCACTATTTGGAGGTACAAAGTAGATGTTTCCTGATAAGGATTAGGTAGTAAAACAATTGCCAAAAGATTTCAAAATTGCCAGAATGCTTGCATTACTCTTCAGCATCATGATTGTACATTTGTGCCGTGGCACAAATGCCAAGGCATTTAAGGATTCCGTTGAAACTTCACTTGACAGTTACAGTACTTAACACTTGGAAACATAACACTTGGATAAAACCATATGGAAATATAGAATTATACCTTCCTGAATACAGTAGTGGTAAATATACCTGTATCTTGGTAGCTTGCTATTGAGACAACCACCAAATCTTTTGAATAGAAAAGGCAAGCAGCTGTGGAATCTTCTGGGATATGGGTCTAACAGTCTTAGACAAAACACAATATCTAAATGTCAGTTTTATAATTTGATTGAGGGTAATAATAATAATGGTATAAGTAACTTAAGTGTCCAGTGTCTGCTTGTGTGATTTAATCTTTGCAATAGGCAACTGTACAGTAAAAACTGATGAATAAAATTTTGGTACAGTTTTTGCCAAAATTGCAACCTAAAGTCCCTTGTCTGAGCCTGACACTTGCTAGAAAAAGGATCAGGGAACTACAGACCTCATGAGCTCCTTTCCAACTTAAGGTATCCCACTATCCTGTAAATTTGCAAGTGTATCTAGGCATCTGCAAGAGGTGACCACACCTCTGAAGTTGTCTGTAAGCAAACTCAGAATAGGAAGTTATTTTACTGTCAACTGATTGCTACAATGTGAAAGAATGTTAACTGATTAGCAAGCAATGCAGAAAAAGTGTGACTATCCTGTTATCATTAGGAAAGGTAGCTACAAAATGCTGTTCTACCAGCAGAAAACAGACTGGATTTACATTTGCAGTATATCACAACTAATGGCACAGTATTCCTCAAAAGCTCAGCACACTGAAGTTAGTTCATTTCAGCAAGAAGCAAGACAGTCAGGTAGGGTGTTCTGACACCAACAGAGGTTCAGATTCAAGAAGATACCAGTTAGCACCTCTCAAGCATCTATTGGACATTAAATTAGTTCCAGTTCAGTCTAAGTGGGCTATTCAGATGAATAACAAAAGGAAAACAGACCACAGAAAGTTAAGTTATACATCAAAGCCCGGGGCTTTTATTTGGAGAGCAAATGAAAGGGCCAAATGTCACCAAAATTGCAACCTTCTAGGTTATGTATGTATACACACTGCATGTATTTTTGTTCTGTTAATGGAAAAATGTAAGAATCCACTATTTGAGAACAGGATTTTTCATACTGTAACGAATGCATGGGTGTGATTTTAATGTCAGTGTTCCAATAATTACTGCAACTTTATTTTGTATGAGTTTACAGTTGCTGCAACAATTGCTAAGTCATGAAATGCTGCAAAGCAAAACAGCCAAACAAGATAAAAATCAGTTAACAGAAAACATACTCAATTAATTGTTTTGGCACAACTCAGTGGCAGAAGGCGCAGCCTCTGTACTTAAGAACAAACTTGCAGGAGAGCCTCTCTAGTGGGGAAATACTGCAATGACTTCTATGAACTGTGAAGTATATTAAATTTGTTAACAGTGAGTTGTAGTTACTTTAATGCCAATGTATATTTCAAGCAATGTGCAACTGGAAGCAATCAAGTGAAGTTAAAAAACATGCTGTGGAATACAGCGGACACAGACCTTCAAAGACACTGAGTGCAGTAACGGTCTCAGTGCCACTGTCCCGAAGGAATGAGTCCAGGGCGATGTAGCACACCTGCAGAACATACAGTTCAGTGGGAACAGACAATGTCATTAACAGCTGACTGGAGCACCACGAGGAGCTGAAAGGCCAGCCAAGTTGATGAGCCGGTTGTAGTGTGAACAGATTTGGTGCATGGCAGCAACTTTGCAATGCTGAGGATTTGTTCCACAAAGCAATGAGGGCTGACATTTGACTGAGACTCTTAAGCAGGTTTTTTTCCAGGGCTGTGAACTTAAAGCTTAACCTAGTGGTTTGCCGTCTTTTGTGTAGCTTTAGTGATCTGTTTATACTTTGAAATTGTATATATCCTGATTGCAAAGTCCTTTTGTGCAAGACTAAACATGATCCAAATACTGACCCCAAAGAGCTGATGCTGGTAAGTTTTCCTCATTAAATCATGGTAGCAGCAATTCAGCGTTCACCCCTACTGCAAAGGGACAGGATTTTACAAACCCAGATCTACAAGACGACAACTCCAATGATTATGTCATCAAGAAGGGAAATTGCAAGGAAACGGTGATTTTTGTGATTAAATATAGCCAAAATAAAACCATTATACACACAGACTCAATCTTGCTTAAAGTCAGTGGTTTATAGATGGCATTCTCTTACGGCTCCCACAGTGGCAACTGTATCAGTGATGAGCAGCAAGACTGTTGATTACTGTGCGTAGAATATTGTAAACAACTGGGTACAGGACAGCACAGAGGCAGCTGTAAGTGACTCTGACAAGAACGAACGTGGTGTACATGCAGAATACCTTGGGAAAAGTTAAGAGTAAAGCAGAGGGTTTTATTTAGATGCTTTGGTGCATAAAAGGCTACACTTCCCATATGCACATTATTTCATATTATTGCTTTACTAAGTTTGTGAAGAAGTCTATGTATCCTATGCAACTAAAATCTTCTGTTTCACACTTATTGATGCTTGTTCACCTATGACTTTATCTAACGGCCTCCTAAACACCAAGTTGTTCATAAACGAAGGCAGTCTGTCTACCAAAAAAACCCAACTTTTACACAGAGAGAATAGCTTCTGTTACAGAGGATAACCTTAAGAACAAAAAAACCAACAAGCAGAAAGCCTACATCTTTTCTAAAATACTTTGAGAATATAACTTTCTAAGAAAGCTTTTCTTCCCTACCTCCTGTTTTAGCTGTTTTCAGGGAACACCTCTAGACTGGCTTTATGGGAAGCTATTCTAATGTTCCTTGGAATGCATGGGTCAAGTCAGTCAGTACAGAAAGTAACTCAGTACTTGTTGCATGTATAATCAAACAGCTCAAGCAAGGATACACAATTTCATCTGGCTGCCAAATTGCTGAGCACTCACACACTTTGAAAGTCAGTGACCTACTTTCATATATTACTTACTATCTTCAGTGGTGACCCCAGTTTTCTCTTCACTCCAGTCACTCCAGTAGCCCACTCCATCTTCCTTCATGCAACGAATTGAAAAGACATACTCTGTGTAGGGTCTGAGCCCTTGAACGCTGAATGAAGTTCTTGGTGAAGCTGTATCTTCAGGAGGAACCTGTAAATGGAAGAAAGATTTTAAAGGCACTGATCAAAAATTGAAAAGCTGAGCTCTGTGCTACTACAGCTCCCATCCAAGAAGGCTCCCCACCACATACACACCCAATACAAACAACAGTTTTTCTCCCCTCTTATTTCCAAAAGCTTCAATTCTCAACCATGGTTTGGTAAGAGATCATAGTTGTGTATATTTCCCAGGTGTAATATAATACATACACTAGAATAGGTAAGCAGCTATCTCAGGACAATCTCTCATATTCTGTTTTCTTTTTTAATTAGTTTATGTCTACCTCTCCTTCCTCCCCATATAATTCCTCTACTCACTGATCTGTAATATTCCACCTCACATTTCAGAACTTTGCTAGGTTATCTGCTTGATTATTGATTGCAAAATACCTGTGCTAGAAGCCTTCTATAAAACTAGAGAATCCAGGATCATTGCTTCCGCTGACACAGAACAGTGTTTCTTAACTGACATCAGAAATAGTTTGTTTTAGAGTTGTTTATACTTTCGCTAATAGATGAATTTATTTTCATAAGATCTTTCCTTTATCTTAGATTAGGAACTGAATGCCAGAAAGTATTCTTACTGCATATGTACAGAAACAGAAGTGTGATGTAGATAACTGATTTATGTAGGTAAAACACACACACTGACTCCATCACACTATTCCACTTGCAATTAAGTTTTTTTTTTTTATAGTGAGCAACCCTGCAAGAAGAATGATTGCAGATTAAAACACACATGCAGGACACTCAAGAGGTTAATCCTGAGTGCAAAGAATTGTCAAAGTAGTCAAATTTTACCACAGCTAAGCAAGCTCAGTTGTTTTAAAAGTCACTATCTTCAATGCTCTTGTGCACATGTTAGAAGGTCAAGATAAGTTAAAAGGACTTAATAGGACAATGTATCAACAGATCCTGGAGTTGCAGAATAAGCTGTGTGGGACTGTGCTCTTCAAAATATCAATACTGGTGACCTTAATAATTAATATTTATTATTAAATAAATAATAAATGCATCTAAAGCTCAAAAAGTTCTTCCAAAGGAATACACTACATCAGTCACAAGCAGCTGTGTTATGCTACCTGCTTGAACACTGTATTTTGGTAAGTCAGAAGCCAGTCTTCCTTCCAACAAGTGATGAAATTCAGAATACTTTTGGGCCTCTGTACTGACACAAAGATGGGAAGATCTTGATGAAAAGACTGTTTCTGGAATACTGCTGCTCTGAGAGAAGGCTTAAAAAAGGTGAAACTGAGAAGCTATTGAAAATATGTCCATAGACTGATCTAGAAGAAAAAAATGACCACAACTCTTGATGACATCGAACATATTATAGTACACTCCAGATAACACATTCCTTACTCTTTTCCAGTTCCTTGACTGAATCAGGCTTACGGCATACATGCAGGACAGCCATACTATATAGAATCATAGAATCATTTAGGTAGGAAAAGACCCTTAAGATCATTGAGTCGAACCATAAACCTAACACTGCCACATCCACCACTAAACCATGTCCCTAAGCACCACATCTACACGTCCTTTAAATACCTCCAGGGATGGTGACTCAACCACTTCCCTGGGCAGCCCGTTCCAATACTTGACAACCCTTGCGGTGAACGAATTTTTCTTAATACCCAATCTATACCTCCCCTGGTGCAACTTGAGGCCGTTTCCTCTTGTCCTATCACTTGTTACTTGGAAGAAGAGACTAACACCCACCTTGCTACAACCTCCTTTCAGGTAGTTGTAGAGAACGACACAGCCTCCCCTCAGCCTTCTTTTCTCCAGGCTAGATAACCCCAGTTCCCTCAGCTGCTCCTCATAAGACTTGTTCTCCAGACCCTTCACCAGCTTCGTTGCCCTTCTCTGGACATGCTCCAGCACCTCCATGTCTTTCTTGTAATGAGGGGACCAAAACTGAACACAGTATTCGAGGTACGGCCGAGTACAGGGGGATGATCACTTCCCTACTCCTGCTAGCCACACTATTTCTGATACAAGCTAGGATGCTGTTGGTCTTGTTGACCACTCTGCCAATCCGTATTCAGCCGGCTGTTGACCAGCAGCCCCAGGGTGTCCTTTTCTGCCAGGCAGCTTTCCAGCCACTCTTCCCCAAGCCTGTAGCATTGCATAGGGTTGTTGTGATCTGAGTGCAGGTACAGCAATTTCAAAAAAGCATCCCAGCATTGTACAGTGTTTGCCCAAGCTTTAAATGACACTTAGATCAGTAGTCTTGCACATGCATGGGAAGATGAAAGTTCATCAATGTTCTAGATGTTGCATGTACAGAACAAAAATTCAAAATAAACATAATGCAACATGATGAAGAGGACAGCAGAGAAGTCCACAAAGAAAAGACAAGGTCACTGTACTATAGATTGTTCCAAAAAACCTGTATCACAGCCTTCATGAACAGGCCAGGTAAACTACCTTGGGAGGCCACATACGGCCTAAGGATAAAGTGAATCCTCTGAACTGCAGCAGTGAAGGAACTTCTACAGTTTGACAAATGGCTGGGTTACAGCAGGAAAGTGACAAGGGACATTAGTGGTATTACCTGCATCCAGTTTGTGTCACCAATGATCCGATAGCGAATATTGAATTTCAGCTTCATCACAGCTGCTGAAATCCGATTCTCCCAGGAAAGCTTCAGAACAGTAGGTAGTATTCCCGAGTTGACCGACAAATTGTGTGGAGACAGAGGTTTAACTAGAAGAGAAGGAGTTACAGTCAACTCTACAGGTATTTTATCATGCCTCTAGCAGTTGGTACACTATGCTGTAACACTACCATTAGAGCCTTTCATAAGCTCAAATGGCTACTACTTCACACTAGTTTCTAAAGCAGACTACTCAACAAGAACTTGCCGTCTGAATTGTGATCAAATACCTCACCTTCCCTACCCTTTGTCCAGCACAGTTCAAGTTCTAGTCAACAATATTTTGGCAGTGTTAGTTTTTATAGTGAAGAAACATTAACACACCAATTCAGCAATATGCACAGAAGCAGCAGTTATGTACTACTAAAGCTTTATTAAGAGGCACATAGTTACCAATCTCAATGGGATCAAGAACAAGAGGATCAGATTCAGCCTTCCCAAGAGCATTTGCTGCTTCTACCCAGACCTCCAGGTTAACAAAGAACTGAACATCAGTAATTGTACAAGAATTGTTTACATCTTTTGGTATACAGTCAGGAAAGTTCTCTTGTGGCCTAAATAAAAGAGAAGGAAAAACAAGGTATAAAGCAGTAAGTTTGGTTTCCTTTAGAGAATCTTTTTAAGTAGATCAGAGTGATCAATCAGTTTAGATCATATGTTTCCTCTCTGCCATTATCTTTGTAAGCAGAGGCACAGGAAGAAAAGGAGAAGAGATTAGAATACCTTGTTCAGCCACAAATGCATGATTGCATTAGAACAGAAACTAGAATAAAATCTCTTGACTTCAAGTCACATATCTTCAAAAGCACAAGCCATGGTATTGTAATTATAAAGTTGTATAAAAAACTGACTTAGCTTAAAAAATAAAGATCAAGAATTGATACATTTAATCAAAAGCAATATGGCTAGTAACTAGACGCATATTCATGCATTAAAAGGTGTAGTCAGTATTACCTACACACCCTTCATGAGTACAGCGTTACGGCTGCAACACATCATTATTTCTGTTCACCATCTTCTGCTACACTAACAGCAGATACTTCTAGGGGCATCAAGAGATTTGCAAAGCATTAAGGTTTTCTATCTATCCATACTTTCTACTACACTTGTTACCAAAACACTTTAGTGGAATGGGGTAGATGGAAAGCTGTAGGCAGTCATTCCTGTTTCCAGAGCAGAGCAACAATTCTGTCCACTCCATTTTAAACTCCAAGAGATCACTTGAAGAGTTTGAAAAATACTTAAGTTAATTTGCTTTCACAGGAGAGATACTTTTGCTGAAGCTTTCATGTTAGGATTAATCATGGACAAACACCATCTTGAGTTCTTAGAAAAGTAGAGTAGATAATACCTCTACAAAATCAGTCATTGTATGTGGGTGTCTCTACTTAGAATCATAGAATGGTTTGGGTTGGAAGGGACCTTTAAAGGTCATCTAGTCTGACCTTCCTGCAATGAGCAGAGACATCTAGTTGTTTAGAGTGGGATAGAACAGTCACCACAGAAAAACATAAAATATGTAATTTGGGTCCAGCCACCTAATAATTAGGTGTATTGTACTCAAGCCACACTAATCATGTATTTGAATAATGGAAAAATATGAGACAGCTGTTACTTCAAAACAAATGCAGCAACAAAATTTCAAGTCTGACTTAGAGTTACTTTAAATGTGAACTTCTTTAACTCTTCCCTTCTCCCCAAAATAGGCAGCAATGCTTCAGAAAACTGGATTTAAGAACTCTTCCAAAGTACCAAGGAATTTCAAGGAAGTTTGGTTTAGCCTACAAATATTCTTCAGAATTATTTAGGTATTCTATAGAGGGCTACTCACCACCTGTATTTCAACCTAAAGTGAGTGTCCAGGAACGTATGCCTTCCAGGGTTCCAGGTACAAGTCATAGGATATGTGAGTTTTGACACCTGATGCACAATGCAACTTAAGTCCTTGGGCTTCTCTGGGGGCACTGTACAAAAAAAGTTAGCAATAATTAATCTATATACAAATTTCAATCCAGTAAGAATCACGTTAAGTCTCCCATTATAGCAATTTCAGTGAAGACCAGAAGTATTTATAGTCAGGTTTATTTCTAAAGGAGGGGACAAAAAGTGCTAGATACCATCCAGCAATGGAAGTCAAGAAGCTTAACCAGCTGCCCTGAGAAACAGTAGGCTGTATAAGGAATAAGCACATGACAGTAAGGAACAGCATAGAAGATTTCTCATTCTTTGAGACAGAAAACCTGGTATCAACCGTTTCTCATCTAAATCTATTTTAATTCACACATAAAAAAATGCTAATGAGCACTACAGCTGGAGTAGCATATGCTGACTTTGTCAATAACCTGAGCTCTAAGGCAATTGTGATAGGTCTATTCTCCCCCACGTGAGCTATGGAAGAAGGATGCTTTAGCTGTGAACACCTACAAGAAAGATAAGGGATCTTCATCAATGCACTTTAGTAGTGTAAGAAACTTTCAGAGTGCAGCTGAATATTTTTTCTTCCTTCTTAAATTCAAATCATAGCATACAAAGAGTTTGTTTCTAGCTTTTAGAATATCACTATTTACAAGAGTATAATGTACTTCAAGAATCTTATTTCCTTTCAGGCAGAATGCTATTTTCAACTAAGTACCTTATGAACCTTAGAGTTTTAGAATCATAGAATCATTAAGGTTGGAAGAGACCTCCAAGATCATCGAGTCCAACCGTCAACCCAACAACACCATGCCCACTAAACCTGAATAGGTTTAGTTCCTGAATAGGAGGAACAAAAAACAATAGGTTTTGTTCCTGAATAGTTGTATTCTTCTCAAACCTGTTATTCTTATCGTTTACAGAATTTTTCTTTAATTGACAGTACGAAAATACAGTAGCTTTAAATACAAATGCATCTCAAGATTCATACGTGAATTACAGTTGTAGAATGTTATCTGTACTGTCATTCAGTTTACTGTAGGATATTGTATCTGTCCTCACCTTTCCATCTATTTTGCCTGTCACATCTTTTCTGGTAAGAAATTTACACCTTAGAAGTTGAAATAGAAAACACTGTTTTTCTGTGAAAGCATTTTGTAACTCACACTAGAACCACATTAGCTTAAATTGTGAACTCAAGCCAGCCTTTTGTACACAGACCACGCAACAACTGCAATACCTTTTGCCAACACTAGGAGGAAACATAGTTCATCAGCTATTCATACTCTGCTATCAAGGACACTTGAACTCTTATTTTATAAACGGTCCACCAACTAATTAAGTAGTATATTCAGTTATTCATGTTAGCTTCTCAAGAGCTCAGTCTTGTCTCAAAGAGCACTTGCTCAGAACTATGCAAGTGGTATCATGCTTGAACAAGGAAAATTTATAATTAGTTAAAAGTATTTTCTTATGTATAGAGGTAGAGTAATCCAAATAGTACATTCCATCCTCAAGACACTTCAGGTTAGCTTTAGTGATACAGATGGACTAAATATTTCTCAGTCCATTAATGAAAAAAACATTAATTTCATAGTGTCATCGTTTAACCTCATCCTAAATCCAAAACACAGCACTGTACCAGCTACTAGGAAGCAAGTTAACGCTATCCCTGCTGAAACAAGGACATAGTGTTATTATGACAGCAGGACATACAACCTTATTGTATTTCCTTGAGCACTGAAACAGCAGTCAGGAAAAGTTAGCTTATTTCCTAGGATCTATTTCAGTTAAATTCACATCTTCTTTCTGTAATTTAAATCTTCCTGCTTCAAAGTTTTTCTGCTGTTTTCTGTTGTTCTGTTTTCTTCATATTTCAACACTGAAATACTCCGGAGTATTTATTTTTTAGAAAACTTTATTCTGTGCATATTTACAGCTTTGATGTCATGTAACTTGACAATGTTTTTATACAATTATCCAGGAACCGAAGGAATGGAAATAAGTGTCTCAAAATGTGCACACTTTCTATTGTTTGCATTCTCTTCCCTGTTTCTCAGAAGCAATTTTCTTAAGACCAGAATGAAAAGCAAGAAAAGTGGTACTTACAGCCTATTGTAACTGTAATTCCATAAATGTTCTGCTCAATCTGTCCATCTGCTAAAATATTGCATGTCAGAGGAGTAGCTAGTGAAGAAGTGTCATTAAATGTGACACTGGAAACTGTTCTGTTTATTTCACGATACTGTTCTTTAGGTACCACTCTGTTTTTAATTTTCCAGATAATTTGATTAGCATAGATATTGCCAAAGTCAAGACAACTCTCATTCAAAATGCATAATGCTGTGAAATTGGAACCAAGGGCCAATACAGGAGACTCTGGGATGATGTGACCACATGATTGTACGAGTCCACCTGAAACTAAAAGAAAAAGAATTGCATCTTTATTAAAAACTACAGAGCATACCATAATCAATATTGCTGATACAACACTAGTGTAATGTTAAAAATACCACGTGTCTAAGCAGAAAATGAGTTAGTTACTTGACAGTTATAAAGCTGAAATGCATTAGTGGACCACCAAGGAGATTTAAGGGGCGAAACCAGTGTAATGTTCCCTAGACTTTCCAAAAGCATTTTACCAAGCAAGAAAAGCTCTATTAATAAACAGGGGCCTTTAGAGAGAAAGGAGAGTCAAGGATTGAATGTTTAGTATGTTTTGAAGGAGGAAGGCAATATGCTTGAGGTTACTCTTGCAGTTAAAGGTATTGTCTGTTGAGAAAGTTAACAACAAAAAATTGGGATAAGTCTGCACCTTTGTTGTGGTGGCCTAATTTTAGAAGAATTGCATGCAAACAGTTAAATACTTGAGTTGTCAATTTCAAAAGCATCAGTGTGTACACTATAAGCATATTTGGGAATTATAGATAGTACTCTTTTTACAAAGGAACTTCAACCCAAGAATAAGATTGTGACTATTGCTACAGAGGCACATAAAGAGAAAAGTGTCAAGTTTTAGAGATGAAATAGATGGCTGAAATACTGCCTTGAATCAACAGCCATACTAAACATCTTGAGTATGATCATTTGCTACACAATAGCAGTGGCCCACAGCTCTAACTTGATCATAGAGCTTACTACACTAGTTCACTGGTAGATTATTGCTTTAACAGCATTTAGTCTGACCAAGACATACTTTCATTTAGATATTGTTTGGCATATGTGAAATTAAACTTCAGGTTGCTACAGTGACCAGCTCCAGTGATGTCAGTGGAACCAAAGCAACCTAACACTGACCAAAGTCACTCTTCACTATCTCTGTACACAGATGAGCAATGAATAGAAGCAGAAGTGAGTATTGGTTTAGCATGCATTATTTTACCATAGTATTAAGAGCAAAGACTAAGTCTCTGTATCCTAATACACCTTGCTTTCTGCCCCCACCCCACAAGTATCTACGCAAAAAGCAAGTATGTGCTTCAAGTATCCGATTAAAGAAGTTCTACAAGTCTCTTGTATTTGAGACACAGAAGTCTTACCTTCAAGAAAACAAATATTCAAGAGCAGATATAAGCCACGGGCCACCCAGTTCCACGCAGAAAACATGCTGCACAGAATTCCTGTAACAGAGAAAGATTTTTTAAATTTGAAATATTACTCTTCACTTTAGATCACTGTCAAATTCAGATTAGTATTTGATTTATTACAATTTCTCAGGTATGCACATTTACTTTCCTGAAATAATTAGTATCTTCTCATTCTAGAGAAAGAATGGGCATATTGTTTCCATTTTACTCACTGCTCTAACAAAATCCAATGTCTATTTAAGACAACTGATGCAGTTTAAAGCCTCTTTAGTTACGAATTTAAGAAATGCATGAGCTTAAGGTTTTCATGTCATATATGGAAACAAACTTCACTGGTACTTCTGTGGGAGGTTCAGTTAGAATAGAGAGCATAACACTGTGGCTCAGGTTTTAAAACAGAACGCTATGAATTTGATGTTGGTTACGATACTTACCTAGCTTTCAAAGGCACTACTATAAATGCTTTGCACAAGGTTCAGAACAACTTATCACAAAACCATGTGTCTCATTCACAAGACTGACTTAAAATACATTTAAGAATTACAAAGTACAACGCTTCCATATCAAGAACTGATAAAACTTCTTTGGAAACCGGTATTCTGAGCTTTACCCCTATAAAAGGCAACTCACTAAGAAGTTTAAAGGAATTCCACAGTATTCCCTAGAAAGGAAAATTTAAAAGCTACATTTACTATTATCAGACAGAAAACAAACTGCAGTTTATGACAGGAAATACTCCTTCGCTTTGATTGCATGTAGTTTACTTTATAATAATGACAGAAAATGCAAGGCATTTCATATAGATCAATAGAACTAGAAAAGATATTTAAGCACTGATGTATCAATACCAAGCTAGAACCTCATTCCTTAGGCATCGGCACATCTAACCCATCTTTTTTTTTTTTTTTTTTTTACAAATCAAGGTAAACAGTATAATGTAAAGAAAAGTCTGTTCACAAGAATTAGAAAACAACAACTAAACAAAAGCCAGTATCAAACCTTTTCAGCAGAGTCCTTATAGTGCTCACCAACATAGAAGTGTTTCAGTTAGGACTAAAATAATAGCCATCACAATCACTCAACAGTATCTTTATTTGCATCTATACTTGCGAGTTCATTACTTAAAGCCCACCAAAATTTCCTATGTAGAAATTTTACACTAGAAATATTGCTGATTAAAAGACTTAATTATGTTAACAAGCATTTATATTTGCCACTAGAGGTTGTTGGTTTTTTTTAACTAAATAACAAGACTTATTTATAATCAGACTGTAGTTGTATGGAATAGCTTTTTGATTCTCAACTCATTTTTTCTATGTTACACGCAAGTAGTCTCACTGGGCTGGATATGAAAACCATTATACAGTTTTAAGTGCAATACATCTTTAGATATTTATTACAAGTGTACAGTAAGAGAACAAAACCTATCAATTTTTGCTTATTATGGATGTTACGTCTTCTAATATCTGAAAAATAATGTTTCTACCCACCCATGCCTTTCTGCATTTTAAAATCCCAATTGGTTTCACAACTTTTAATAAATTCACATGGTGAATACAACCAAACTCAGAAGAGTATTCTTTTTTGATTTAGGTCTTCAGACACTGAGTAAAACCAGCACATAGGAATCTATTTTAATGTCTTGACTTACCCTAACATAAATACTGCTTGCTACCAAAAGCTTGTTGTACTCTATTAAGGATAGACCTTAAGATTTGTTATTTTAAGCAAGATTCATTTAAAGCTATTTAAGTTGAACAATTTGAGTTGCAGAAGATCTGAAACTCATGAGACCCCGAGGGCAACTACAAGCTAGGGGGAAAGCTAGCCACTTCCCTGCTAATTGCCAAAAGCTGCAGAACAACAGCAGAAGCAGCTTCCACACTGAAGAGTGAAGCAGATGTGAAGAGGCAGAGAGGAAAGTTTTTTTAAAGAATGTTCAATATATCATTTCTCTCCCATTTCATATCACAATTGGTATCACATTAGAATAATGGCAGTGTCAGCTAAGCTAAGTATTACATCATTACAAAGTTATTGGTTTTCTTTTTGGTAATTATTTATTTCAGGTTAAACAATATTTCCACAAAACTATTCAAGAACTGCTGGTCTTAAAATCATATTAAGTCATATTAAGTATGGCTCAGGTTAAAAAAAAAACTGTGAAGCACCTGAAGGAACATACAAGTCAACACTTAAAAAGCAATAACCAACTCAACAAAAATACAGAATTATCACATATTTTGCTCTAAAGTACAATGTTTTTCCTAAGAAATAAAATGACTTCATCTTTTTAAATAAATGCCATTTCTATACTCAACTATCTTCCAGACTTGGAGTACAACGTTTTAGTTGTCCTGAGCAGATTCATTTACACATGGGAAGCTGAAGTCCAAATCTCTACTACTTTGCACTTCAGAAAGTTTAGTATGTGTTTTGAGGGAGCAAAGAAACCCTCCACAGTTTATAGTACTTATTCCACTTGCACTCAGCTCCTGAAAGGCAAGAGAACTGACACTCATGCTCCATCACCTGGAACCGAAAGTTAAGTGGAAAGCCCACCCACCTACTGTACAGGAAACAAGCAGTTGTGACTATAGTGTCAAAATCATGCTACAGTTCAGCATATATCTGTTTTTATGCTGTTCTGATGTATTTTACTTTTTCCCCCTGCTGATCAATGCAGTGTGAAGAAGATTGAAGCTACATACCTCCAAACCCACAAACGGGCTATTGCAATCCCTTCTAACGTGTGCTATTTTTTAAAACATTAGTCTCTCTGGCTTTTACAAGACTGATTCTTAATTGAAATTTAGTTCTAGGGGAAAGAACCAGAGTTACACTAAGCACTTCCATCCACCTTGCCTAGATGAAAGCTGTAAAAAAAATAAATACCATGGGGCTTATAACTAACAAAACAAGGAGCCATACCTCAGATTAGAGTGAGGAAGATACTTCCATGGAAACTAGCGTTTTCTAATCTGAGCATATAAAGATGCTCAGGTGCAGATGGTGCAGAAACCCTGCATATAAGCTATACCAAAACTTTAAAAAACATAGTGCCATAATTCAAAAGAAATGCTGCTAAACACCAATTGTTCACCATTAACTACTTTAAGTCAGAGTAAGCTGCAAGTCTGGACAACAGAAAACTCAATAGTTTCAGCGATTACGCAGCAAAGCCCAATGTCTTCTGTTTTACAGACTGGTGTAGTGTATTAGGAATGTAAGGTGAAAGTTCAACCTGATGCTGAACTAACACTGAAGCAGCTAGTCAGTTCAAAAGCTTTTTATTTAAAAAAAAAAAAAGGCCAAACCAACATTTTATATATGCTATGTAGTTGTTGTGGACCACTAAGTGAAGAGGAAAGGGAGACAGAGAAAGAAACTGATGTTAAAAGTTTGTCAGGTTACTTTGATAGTGAAGTCTGCTGAAGTGGCAAGGATCAAAGTCCATCAAAATACTAAACAGTAAAAACAACATGGTCAATCTAGAACTGCTGCTGGTGACAGTCCTTAACTTGCAGAACATAAGTTATCTTAAAGAGGAGAAAACCTGTTAAAATGCTGTGATTACTTCAGTAAAGACAGACATATGAAACTCATATGCCATGAGATCACCCCATTTAATCTCTAAATCATATGGGACTTCTGTTACTCTTCACATCCTGCTACCATTTTGAAAGGAAAGCGCTAAGCCTTTATGCCTGAACCTTAAACTGATGTTTCAGGCAGTATCCTATGAAAAGCTATTAACGACCCTAAAGTCAAGCTTTATATGCACAAAGGAGCAACAGCATTGAGTTTTATGACTAACCTGTGAATAACAGTTTTTGAAGAAATGTCAGGCATTCATGCAAAATGGGTATCGTTACTTATATTGAGCAGAGAGAAGTCTTACAAATTAATCTTATTTCATATATAACTACCCCAAAATGAATGCAGGTATATGTCACATGATGAGTGACATATTGTCACTCTCCATCTCAGAGCGGTGACAATTATCATCCAAGTGACCTACAAATGACAATTTCAGTTTAAGAGACTATAGCCAAAATAACATGTTCTTGCCAGCAAAGCCAGCTTGCAAGTCAGGAAGTATAGATATCACCACAACCACCACAGGAAGGTGTTAGGCTAAGGCTCATCATCACATCAATCACGAAAGCCCAAAGGTTGCTGGCAAATGGATTTCCAAAAATTCCTCAAAAAAGTAAGAGCTAAGCTTACAGCTTCAAGTGATAATCTCTCACTACAAATCCACATAACTCAGGCAGATGGAGCAAGGAACCAGTACATAAAAGTGATACTGCACATAGCAGCTACTACTTGAAGTTTTATAATAAGCAAGGTAGTACTTAAAGCCCATCTAAAGGCTGTAACTATCCTCAAGCAATTTTGATTATTCAAGCTGTAACTGCTTTCTAATTGGGAGTATTTAACATGCAAGCTTCCTTCCTTCTTGGAAATATTTATGGGACTCAAAAAGCCCCAAACACCTCTAAGAGAATCACTTGAAAATCTTACAGAACATTATATGCACAGAATATTCTGAAATTCATTTTCATATTTAAAATACCTATACACAAATGATATCGCTCTCCCTTTCACCAAATAGCTAAGTCATTTCTCCACATTACTCATTCCTTTGCCTCTAGAAGGAGGCTACTCCCTACCTCTGGGGTTTTAGTATAGCACTCAGAATAAAAAACCCAAACAAAAGGGCACAGATTAAAATGACTGAAATACCTCATTAGAGGCACCAAATATTTGCTTGCAGGAACTAAGTTCTTCTTTCTGGTACTTTCTTAAACTGCAGATCACTTTCTCTGAAATACTTCAGGTTTTTTTGCAGCTAGGAAATAGCTTAAGTCTAAAAAGCTAATGTATTTATACAAAATAACATCTTAGCATGCCATGTTCTCATCTTGAAGTCAAACCTTCAAGACAGACAACCACCAATGCTGGTTCTCCGATTTAGACAGTTCTTGCTAATATAAGAATCATTCTAAAATAATTGGCCAAGAGGT